ACTGTTTGGCTGCCGAGGCTCCGCCCTGCTGTTGTGTGATTCGCGCTGTTCCTGCCGGCTCTGCTGTGGTCTCCGCCACGCCCTGCGGCGGAGTCTCTTCGTTGTAGCGTGTTGCCTCAGCAACGGCAGGCTGCGTCAGCAGTGGGCGTGTATCTCAGTAGGGACGGGTTGCCTCGGCAACGGCTGGCTGCCTCAGCAGTGGGCGTGTATATCAGTTGGGGCAGGTTGCCTCCGTAGTGGTGGGCGCCCCTCCCCCACAGAGCGTCTCGGACCGTCTGCCCGGGATAGTTTGAAATCGCGGTTTTGTTCGTCCCACTGGGTATCCCAAACGATCTGTCCCTGCAATCCCCTGGGCTGGGCTATTGTGCAAGTCTCGTTCAGTCTCAAGTCCAGCCCTCTCAAGTCTCAGGTTGCCGGTTCAACAAGGCACCCGGACAAGCGCGCCCTGTGGGGATTGCTGGGTAGGGCCGGCCGCCGCCGCCCCGGCTGCTGGCTTCGCCAGGCAGACCTACTGCCTGGCGTCCCGTGTCTTTTTATACTTGGGAGTTTCCCCGTTCTGTGGGCAACAAAGATCAGTCTGGAAATGCAGCACTGACTCACCGTTTGCGAATTCAACGCGGGCTCCAATCCTGGGTTGTTCTCACAGCGCCATCTTGAGTCCCCTCCATGTTTGTAATCTTGAAGTCATGTTGGTTTATCTTTATTTTGCACTAGAAGTCCTTTTGAGTATAGCTTATTGTCCTGAGCATTTAGACATACAAGAGGAAGCCTCAACTTAATGAAGAGATGAGAGAGAGTGGATAAGCACTGTTTAGTGTACTGTTGACAGTTTATTATTGTGGTCTTCAGAAATTCATGTTCTTTACCTAGTAAATACATTTACCTAAAACAGGTTTATTGCTCCTGGGCACATCAATACCATTAGTGACAGCAGAGTTACAGCTGGGAGAATGCATGGAACATATGGTCACAATTCGCCTACTGTTTCTGAGAAAGGAGAGAGGACACTTCTGTGGGAGAGACATATTTTTGTCTGATAGTGTAATTTACTAAAACACAAAGTACTTTGTCAGAACCTTTCACTGTGAGTCTAAGAAATTAATTAGGAGAGTTCTCATTTGAAAGTTCCTCAAATAAATTATCGTTTATCTAATAGAAATACATGGCCTGTAACTTTCTTAGTTGATACAAAAGGTATGGTGCCTACTACTTTACATGGACATTCATGCCACTTCAAACCTTGTAAGACTGAAAACTACTGAGCCAGTCACAGCCACCTATATTTTCAGAATGTAAAGATTTTATGCAGAATGATATGTCGAATTGACAATGTTTCATTATATGACCAAACTAAAAATATTTTCATCATCTATATATTCCAACCATAATATATCAAAAACAGTAATGACTTTTATTGAGCTTTCATGTAAATCAGGCTTTGCACTAGGCACTTGGCCTGCATTATCATCTTTTAAGACAACCTTAAAGAGTTGGTACTGTTTTTATTCACTTAGCAATGAGCAAAGAGGTTTAGAGAGGTTAGATGTCTTCTCTGAAAAGGTCACTAGTAATACAGTAGATATGAGATTTTAACTAGGTCAGTTTGACTTCAAATCTGGAAGCTCTTCACCGCCACAACATTGTTTCTTAGGTTTCAGTGCGATAAGAACTTGGAGCTCTATTAATTGTGAAGATCTGTGGCCTGGTCCCCTTACCTCTGACTTGGATGGTCTGGGGCTTAGGAACCTGCATTTATTTCAAATATCGCAGGTGATTCTCATGAAGGTGGCTCAGAGACAACACCTTAAGAAACACAGCCTTACACTCCATTTAAAATCATAATGGGTTTTGACGCTACAAGAAATATTGCTTCAAATTAAAATTGCAAAGTCGATATTTTGTTGTGAGAAAATGTAACAAAGAAAAATAAATAATTCATTAAGATACATTTTCATTCTTCAGGAAAGGAGCATAGTTAGTAATACTTTCTTATAAATATCAATGTCTCATTTTATCCTAGGCCAGCCAGAGAGACCACAATGAAAGGTAACAGCAGAAGTATCTGATTTAAGAGAAGGAAAACCTCCTTTACTTGCAACTTAGAAAAGATTTCCCCCACACAACTCATTCTTATCAAAGGCCCACGAGAGTAAACATATCAAGACCATTAAGCAGTTTAGGAAGAAAATAAATACAGAAATGGAAAGATTATGTTATTCAGCTAAGAAATCAAAAAAGGCACTGCCCTATGTGTTGGCATACAAAGTAGTCAGTAGTCACTGTTTTGGGATTATCTTAGCAGTCAATCTGGGTAACTTAAGTATAAAGTTCAATCATCAATCAAATAGGTCAAGTCTTTTTGGCCCTGGACTATGGATGCTCAAGGCTAAACTGGCATTGCCTAAGTGATAATAATTAATTGATTCACTGCCATATGTGATCCCACCACAGTAGGGTACTCAACCCTATCTGTCAACCTTTTTTTACTTATTCCTAGTTGACTACCTGTCCTTTATCATAATAGCTATTTTCAATCTTTTTCATTCCTTTCAAGTTCCCAAACATATCCTCAATGCCTTCAATTACCATATGTAAACTTGTTTTTTATCCTAGCTATCCATGAGTTCTCTGTTTCCCTTCGTTCCACACTGAAATTTCTTAATATCAAGCATCTATTCATAGCTTGTTAGATCAAGATAAGGAGATGCTTAACTAAGGCTAATTCCTCCACCTATAAATCTGATCCCTTTTGGGACCTCATTCCATTATCTGCAAGCCTCTCCAGTCACCTGCAGCACTTCAGGCACTCTCAGGCAAAGGTGAAAGGACAGGACAGTGCTTCGCAGCAGCTTCTGGGACAGTGTGGAAACAGACTCTTGATAATCGTGAGCACAGTGACACAGGAATAGGGGCACAAAAGAACTTAGGTTGAAGTAGCTGAAGACCAGGGGGCTGCCCCTAGGAAACAGCTGAGATTTAAAAGATAGATAAAAGTGAATCAGGTAGATGGGCAGAAGAAGTGAGAAGATAACGAGATTCAGAAGAGCATGGCACAGCCAAGCATCTATAAGTATTCAGCCAATGATGAAAAAAATGCCCTCGGAAATTGGTGAAAAATATCACCGAGGAGTTTAGATTTTAAGTCTGAAATGAGCCACTGACACTGTTATCAGATGTGTATGTTAATAATGCAAAATCAGAGACCAGTATCCTAGAAAGTGGGAGAGTTTAGTGATCTAGGTAGGATAATGAGTGCCTAGTTTGGAGTAAAAGTGGTAGAGATAGTAAAGTATGATGGATAAGAAAGATATCTAGGTGGTAGTATTATAGAACTTAATAATTCTGAATATCAGAAAAAGAAAGAGAAAGAATGCAGGTCGAGCCTCAGGCTTCTGGCTTTGGTAACTTTCTAATGGCCATGTCATTCCTGGATAGTGCCTAGGCAGACTGAAATTATGAGGTACCCAAAAGGACATGTCTAAAAGGGAATTTGATATGTGGGTAGGTATGACATTCAGAGACGCTGGTTTGGGCATCAGCAGTGTAGGTATGCCAATTGAAGTTGCAGTTTTGAGCAAGACTACTGAGGTTGAATATGGTAGAGAGAGAAAGGGTTGAGGGAGGACCATTTAGGGTGCCAAAACCAAAGATCCCTCGAAAACAGCTGAAAAGAAAGGGCTAAATCGCTATAAAGAGAATGGGAGTAGGGCAGTATCATGAAAATTGAGGACAAGACATTCAAAAGAGGAAATGAACAGCACTGTCAAATGCTTCAGAGGAGAATTCAAATATGGACTGAAAAGCACCTGCTGGGAATTAAGTTGAAGGTGTCTCCCTCCAATTTATTCTGTTCTCTGCCTCTGGCCCTCATATTTACATCTCCTAATAATTAAATAAAAACATTACACACACACACACACACCTCAATTGAACCTAATTGTTCCCAGTATACTCTTTCTTTAATCACAAACGCTGTCATTTGGCTACTTCTGCACTGAGTGTTCTATCTTAACAGTTGCCAGTGATACTCATTTATCCCCACATTTTATTAATAAATGCCAACTCTCATGACCTTTCTTCAGACATTGTGCTATCTGATGGTTTTACAAATTTTACAATATTAAGTCTCCCTTTTTATATTTCCCATTGGCTGTTTCACCAGGGACTTGGTTCTCTTTAATCCTCTCCAGATGCTTTCTCAGTCTCCTATTGGGACTCCCAATTCTTTTTAATCTCCTTGAATAAAATTGTCCTCCAAGATTTGATCCATAATTCTTCTCTCTATGAAATTCATATTTCCACCCCTTGGGCCATCTCGCAAGTCACTAACATACAGAGGAAATTCCAAACATAATCCTGAACTAGATTTTCAAGTGGAATGCCACATATAAAAGTCCCTCCAAATTCAACATGCCCCAAATTAAAGCTGCTCCATCTATTTCACAACCTCCCAAAAACAGTTCCCTATTTTCCTGCTCTGTCATTGATGTACCTCCTTCCAGTCTTTCACTTGCCTTCTATGATCATCCTCAACCAGAAGTGTTCATTCTGTCTCTCTCTCTGGTCCTTGTTTTCACAACATCCCTCTGATATGCAACATGGTTTGAATATAGGGGATCCAGACATGATGCAAAATTGCAATGGTTTATTTCCCATCATAACATAACAGCAGTAACCAACATTTATCTAGTCTTCACTATGTATTAGATGCTATTCTAATCACATCATTATGTATTTCCTTTTACTCTGTTTCCCCTTCAATGAATTTAGAAGATTAAGATGGTTTATTCCTTTTCAAATATGTCATATTTGGATTATATATCAGTCTGTATGATATAACCAGTTTTCTGGATGATAAAAAACTAAGCATTGTGTAGTGAAATGTTGCTAATTCTTTAAATGCTGTTAATTTTCAAGGGTTAGCTCTTAGCCCTTTTCGTTTGGGAATGCAAATGCACACACTCTTGATGAATAACAGAGACTGTAATATATATACTTACCTCAAAAACCCAATCTTTGCAGAAACCTGTAAATCAGCAGAACAATTTTCATGGGTACAAAACCTTGCAAAGTTTATCTGGAAATAAAATGACAACATTTAAAATTTTAATCAGCAAGTATATTCATTCTTTTTTTAAAGATGACATCTGTGACATGTGAGAAAAATAAAATTAATACATCAAATTGAAAACTCCTTATTTTATCTCTTTTAAAAAGTTCAATTTGAGAATTAGTAGGGTTCAAACAACAATTACTTGCAAGACTAAAAGAGCTAAGTTCTAAATAGGTAAAATTTAAAGCCCAAATTTTATAAGTGAAATAAGATTTGGAAAAAAAAAGTTAAATGAAAGGTAATAAAGGAGTATAGTAACTGGCAAGATGTTTTTCACCGGGTTCCTCTCAATTTTCTGGTGCTGCAGTTTGATCCCATTTATTACATGTAAGCATGGCACTTAATTTTGGCAGATGTCAGGACAGTGATTTTATATTTATTGAAATTAGCTACATGGAGATATTTAGAAAATTTACTTAGAGGAAACACTGAACAAAATTAAATAAGGGTTCCAGAATTTAATTAACTCTGAGTTTTTAAATAAGATCAATAAACACTACAAAGGACCTGGGAAGTCCCAAGGAATAAGGTGGACAAAAGGAAAAAACTGGGAGAGATTAAAGGAAGAAGATAATAGGAATAGGTAAAGGAGAGAGACAAATGCAGAAAACAAAGAGAAATGTAGAAAGTCAGAAGGAGCCAGGCTCATGAAGTGGGAAGTGTCTAGAGTACTGTCAAATAGCGTGCTAGACAAGACAGTGCCTACACTTGGGGGAACAGTGTCAATCTTTCTCTAAATAAATATGATTTTTTTCCACCATTTCTATTTGTAAAGCAGGTTGTTCTAAGAATCAAAATATAAATTAATGTAACTACAAATTGCTAAGGTTTTGGCTTATGTACTTGCAATATTGAGATTTTCACTACTGAAGACATTTAAAAATAGTTGATGTTGAAAACTGAAGTTTAACAGAAGAGGAAAAACAACCCCTGACTTCCCTTAGTATTTTCACATGAAGCTATAGAGAAAAATCTGCTCTTAAGTTATCTTCATTTGATCCTGTATTCTAGACTAGACTAGTGGTGACTGTAAGCTCAATTATCTTAAAGTGACTGTGGGGCAATTTTGTCTGGACAGGATATGAAGTAGACCTTTAAATGTCCCTTTCGTCTTTTACATTGTGTGTGTCATTCGTGAACGTTTTAATGAAGGCTTCTTACCATGCCCAGACACATCCTGTTTTTGGACAAACACTATGTCTTTGTGACGACAGACAGTAAAGGTCTCAACAAAAGGACTCCTGAGAGTAAATATATTGTCAGTGAAACCAAAATATTATGGGATAATTTAGAAAACAGTTCACTGGTTAGAATGTAGGATCTATCTCAAATGCAATTGATCCTGGGATGTGGCCGAAATACATATAATGAAAATTGAAAAAAGAAATCATTGTATAACATAAATGTGTGTCTATAAATGGATACAACTAAGCAAGGATTCGACTATGAAGACATGAAGAAGACTGTTAGTAGGATGAGAGCAAGGGAGACAGGAAATGAGAAGAGGAAGACAAACTGAGGACACATGACGACACTGAATAACTAACTTACACATACAACCTTCTCTCGTTATGATTTCTCTCTAGTAATATCAACTTTCTTCGCTGGCAAGGGATCACAAACAGAACATTAGCATTTTATGTATATTATAATCTACTATTCCAACTAAATGCATATTTTTAAATATTCAGTTCAATATCCTAAAGGGAATACAAGCAATTTTTAAAAATAGAAAATAAGACATACAAATCTTTGTTTTTAAAAGCTCATAAACATTTCTATAAAAATTCAGACATATAGCTCACTTCTTCAGAATTATACCATATTTAAAAAATTTAGCTATATGCCACATAATAATTGAATAAAGGAAAATATTCCTACCATTTTTTTAATCATGTCTTTTTCTTTCTTCTGCTGAAGAATTGGCTGAAGTGGTGGGAATTCCTCTGTGCTTCGTTTACTGATGATGTGATGCCCAAGGTGGTAAGCAGCTTCAATTTGAATCGGGGTGATGATGTCCCGCACATCTTTCTAAGGAAAATCACAACCATATGCATTAATAATAAAAACAAGCATGTAGATTAAAAAATATAAAACTCCTTTCCTGCATAAGGCCAAACACTATACATGGAAGACAAAGCTAATACCTCTTATCTAAATTGTCAAAAAAAATTGAAGATGTATTTTTTTTATATCACAAAATCACATATGTTTCTTCCAAAAAACACAAATAAAAATGCAAAATAAAACCATCCAATAATAGTTACAAACGTCTGTACTTGGGAATATTTTCTTCTATGCTATTTTCTAAGCATTAAAAAAACTTGATATTATAACAAACATTTTTCATGATAAGCTTTTTGTAAATAATTTCAAAGTGCTAATCATGTTATTCCATTTAACATTACCCTATGCGTTTTCAATGTTCTCAATAACATTTTGGTATATTCATTTCACTTCAGATATATTATAAAACATCCTTTTTATTCCTTTTTTTTTTTTTTTAAGAGATGGGCTATCTCTCTGTCAGCAGACTTGAGTGCAATATAGCTCACCACATTTCGGAACTCCTGGCTCAAGCAATCTTTCTGCTTCAGCTGTCAGAGTAGCTAAGATTACAGGCATGATGCACCACCATGTCCAGCCAGTCTTTTCATTTTTATAGAGACAGGGTCTTGTAATGTTGCCCAGACTGATCTTGAACTCCTGGGCCCAAGGGATCTTCCAGTCTTGGCCTCCCAAAGAGCTGAGATTACAGGTGTGAGCCACCATACCCAGCCCTTTTTTTTTTCTTTATGGAACGTTTCTATTTTATTTTCGAACATAATCAGTGGTATATAGGAAAAGTATTTATTTTGTACATCTAATTGTACATAATAGTCACTTTACTGATTTTCTTATTAGTTGTTATAGGTTTTTTGTTTTTGTTTTTGTTTTCATTTTTGAGTCAGGATCTTGCTCTGTCACCCAGGCTTCAGGGCAGTGGTGCATTATCCCAGCTCACTGCAACCTCCCTTTCCTGGGTTCAAGTGATCCTCCCACTTCAGTCTCCTGAGTAGCTGGAATTTTAGGCGCACACAACCACACCCAGCTAATTTTTGTATTTTTAACAGAGATGGGGTTTCACTGGTCTCAAATTCCTAAGCCCAAGTGATCTGCCTGCCTTGGCCTCCCAAAGTACTGGGGTTATAGGCTTGAGCCACTGCACCTGGCCATTTTTTTTAAGTTGATTGTGCTTTTGTACTTCACAAACAAAGAACTCTTGGATTTGTTTACCAATTACACAGAAATTGTAACCCATTCACAATCCATTTTGCTCTGTTTAACATTCTTATAAACTTGACATCTTAACTAATTTCTACACAGCTTTGCTTATACCTATTCTTGTTTATACATGGTCACAAGGTTTTGTTAAATAATTTTTAAAATTTATTGTCTTCTGTCACCAAACAGTTTATCACAACTGATTGTCAATTCTTATATTTTAACCTTTATTTCTATATGCAGACATTTTTCTTTCAAAAATATTTTCTATCAACTTAAAAATGATTTTATCTTTTCATTTGTTTGCTAGCCTCATTAAAAAAATTCCACATTATCTTCAACATTATTTGCTTACACACAGTGAAATAGTCAACAAGAAAATATCTTTGAAAGCATTTGTCATTCAATTAAGTAAGCACTTCACTAGACAGTAAAAGTGTCCTACACTCTGAAGTCTATGAAAACAAAGAGTCAGCCCTCTGTATCCATTGGTTCCACATTCGTGGGTTCAGCCACCTTGGATCAAAAGTAGTTGGCAAAAAATAAATGGCTGCATCAGTGCTGAACAGGCAGATTTTTTTTATTATTCCCTACCCAAAACAGTATAACAAGTATTTACATAGCATTTACATTGTATTACATATTACAAGTCATTTAGAGATGATTTAAAGTATTTGAGAGGATTTACAAAGGTTATGTGCAAATATGACACCATTTTACATAAGGGACTTGAGGATCCTTGGATTTTTGTATCCAAGTGGATACAAAACATGGATACTGCTGGACAAGTGTATATGAAAATCAGGTAACATATAAAACACAGTGTTGCTTAGCACCTTTTCGAGCTCTCCACAGACAGAAATGTGATTTTCTAAGTGTACTCAACAAAATAGACTTCTCCTTATCTAAAAGGGCAAGCTAATAAGATTTTACTACTTAAGTAATCTAAGAGGATTTATAACAGAATTCGATTGAGAAATTACATAAAGTAAGACATGTTGAAAAGAAATCTATAAAATAAGATCTTAAGCACTGCAAAAATTAAAAGTAGAAATGATCTCAGGATGTGAGAGAGCAGTTCACATCAGCACATACAGCCCGCCTACACAAAAACTAGGGGAGAACATATGCAGTTTTTGTTTTTCTCGGTATTAAAATTGTTGCTATACTCAGGAGATAATTTGAAGAATTGGTCACAGACTGTGATGTCTTTCATAACAGTGAGAACACATGGACACAGGGAGGGGAGCATCACACACTGGGGTCTGTCGGGGGGAAATAGGAGAGGGACAGCGGGGAGGTGGGGAGTTGGGGAGAGATAGCACGGGGAGAAATGCCAGATAGAGGTGATGGGAAGGAAGGCAGCAAATCACACTGCCATGTGTGTACCTATGCAACAATCTTGCATGTTCTTCACATGTACCCCAAAACCTAAAATGCAAAAAAAAAAACAACCAAAAACAGATTCAACAAATTCCCCCTTGACCATTAAACAGTCAAGTGTTTTCACCCAGGCTAGACATATCAAACCACAATTGAGGTTTATATTAAGCTAGATGAGTTCCTCAGAGTAGACCCATGACACTGCAGTTGACAGACCTCCTACTGGGTAATGTCAGTGGACCAGGTTTCTACTTATCTATAGACATTTCAGGATTGCAATATGGCTTAAACATTACTGCTCCAAAGCAAATAAGAAATAGATTATCTTCAAAGCTCATCAATTAATAATCCTTAAGGAATATGGAAAAAATCCCTATCACACAAATTAGTGCTGTGTTGCTATATTATTTATATAATAACTTTTGATAAAAATCAATGAAGTAATTTAATAAAGATGACACACACCACATAAAGGACTATATCTTTTCTATGTCCTTATGTAATTACAAACAAAAAGGGTGTAATTTTTTTTCTCTTTTCATTTACAACATTATTAATTTATGTATTTAGTGGTTAAAAGCAATAGCAGTATGAAGGTAGAGAACTGGTATTCAAATCTGGGGTCCACCACTTATTATCTATGTAACATTGGACAAGTTTCTTGTTTCCAGCTTAGTTATCTTATCTGAAAATGGAAAAAATAACAATTATGGTGGTTATACCTATACCTTATTGTTGTGACGATTAAATGACATAATGTCTGTGAAGCAGACATAAGATTTGTATGTTGCTTCAAAATGCAGGTATATAAGTCAACCAAGAAATTACTAAATTTCAGTTTCCTAGAATAAGAGATTCTGGTGAACAGTTGGAAGGAATAAGAAAACTGAACTACTGCCAACCAGTCAACATTAAATAGAAAATTAGTTATAGAACAAGGAATAGAACTCTATTTATTTAACAGTGTTTAGAAGATTTGGAGCCTGAGTCAGAGTACTCAAGATCCCTGATTACTTTTCCATTCTTACACAGAGATGCTTTTATTAAATTACTTAGTAAGTGATCATCTCAACATGAAACCTTGACCATATAGGAATGCTGCAAATCAAGGCCAAATCCCAAGTTATCGACTTGTGAAAACGAAACAGCTTGAAGCCCTGAGTATTACAATAGCAAACTTGATTAAATTATTCCCTAGGTGTAGGAGCTAGACAGCCACTGATTGTCCCTCCACATGTCCACTGTTTTAATTCTTCTCAACAAGCTTGCTTTGACCAAATCACATGCTATCTAATTCATACTAATTTTCCACAAGGTCTTCTCTACATCTGGTGTATATTACTTTCATTATCCTAATTAGCTATTAATTATGCTTTTCTTGCAATATATAAAATGTACATGCACTCTTGCAAAAACTGTACAGATATTCACACTTATTTAACTTTAACAGCACCACCTAAGGACAAAAGCTGTAATATCAAAAATGTCTTAAGGTGATTAATTAAATATTTGGGAGTAAAAAAGTACATTTGCTTAAATTTTTAAATTTGGATGGGCATGTGCTATGTATATTAAAAATAATAAAGATTCCATGCCACATTTTTATGGACAATTACATAAAATAGAGTGCCCACAAGCATGCAAATTAGCACATGCCTGAAATTACATAACGTTTATCTTCTTGCTTGACTTTCATGGAAATCTGTATTTCTGGACAACTTGAGAGCTGAGCAACAGGCCCAGGTCCTCCTGTTAATTTATTTAAAGGGTGGGGCCAAAACATTATAAGATGTCACTAAATAAAAAATAATGTCGGGAATAAATATTTGAAGATATCTATTCAAGGGTCTACTGTGTTCAAGGTGGCTCTAGGGATACAAAACTGAAAGTCAGTACCTGTCACAATGCAAGTTCTACAAATCCACATAGACAGTGTAGGCATGAGTACTGTGATATAGGCATGCCCAAATACAGAAGAAACAGGACCACCGAATCTACACATAAAAAGGTCTGGGGAGGCTCTTACACAGGAAGACTTTAAGCAAGGAAATACTGGATTTTTGAAATACCTCTCTGGTGCCAGTGTAGGGGTCGGGGAGGAGAAGCTGAGACCAAGACATACACTGGTACCTGAACCATCACCATCTTGTATAATTACAGTCACTTTATCTAGTAAGCTTGACTCAAGTGGTAGAGAATAGTCAGGCACGTGGCAGGACAATTTCCTGAGAAAAGATATCACCCCCAAGACAAATGCCCTAACATTATACCAATAGGACATTCTCAGATTTTCTCTAATAGAATTTTTAAATAGCACTAAGAACATAGCATCCATACATTTGTTAAATATGTATTAAGTTTCTGCCTTATGTAATGGATTGTGC